TTTTCATTGTGTGTTTTACTTCCTTGGTTAATTCCTAAGTATTTTGTTCTTTTTTATGTTGTTGTAGAAGTAGTTCTTTTGACTGTTCATTGTTCATATACAGAAATGTAGCTGATTTGGAGCGTTTCCTTTGTATCCTGCTATTTTATGAATTTGTTTACTATTTTTAACAGTATTTGTAAAATTATTAGGATTTTTTAAATTAAAATTTTTTTAAAAATCTTATTTATTTGTTATTTATTTATTTATTTGCTGTGCAGCTTGGACTTGCAGTGATCCTCCTGTCTGAGCCTTACCAGTGCTGGGATTAAAGGCATGCGTCACCGTGCCCAGTTTCGGTGGCCAGCTTGGCGTGTAGTACTAGGGATCGAACCTGGGTCCTTGTGCTTGCCAGGCAGGCACTTAAGAGACTGCTGAGCTATCTCTCTAGCCTGAATCATTAGGTTTTCATAGGAGAAGAGTGATAACTTAATTTTTTCTTTTCTGTTTTGGGTACCTTTTGCTCTTCCTTCCTTTCTTTTTTTGTTGTTGTCCTTTACTTTAGCTAGGACTTCTAATACTATGAAGAGTGAAAGTGGCCTTCTCGTGTGATTAAAAACAAAAATGCCTCTTAATATTTTTTGGCATCATCTGGAGTCTATTGTTATATTCTCTTATGGTAACATGGAGAAGACAATAAAATACTAGCCACATCCTTGGCTTTTGTTACACAACTTTCAGGTGAAAAGGACGTTCTGGGAATTGTGCTAGGAAGGTGGGCTTTACTGCACCAGAGAGGTCAGTTGCCGAGAAGAAAAATAACGATTGAATTAAAAGAAATTAGAAATTTTTACTTTTTAAAATTATTGTGTTATTACAGACTTAATTTTTAAAGGTAGTTGCAGAAGAAGCAAGCGTTACAGGATTCCCCATTTGTCATCACCCCCGAAGGCTGTTAACATTAATATCTTATGTGCTTGGGATACATTTGCTCTAATTAGGACTTCAATATTTATATGTTATTGTTTACTTAAGCACTACTTTATTTAGGCTTCCTTAGTTTTATCCCAGTGTCTTTTTTCCATTCTAGGAAATATGCTACACTTAATTGCCATATCTCCTTAAGCTTTTCTTGTCTCAGGCTTTTCACTGTTTTTGATGACCTTGACTATTTTGAGGAGTGTGGGGCAGATATTTGTAGCATGTCCCCTGTTGAAATTTGTCTGATGGATACTGTTGAGATTAGTTTTCTGTAGAGGACAGGGGTGACAGCGGTACTTTGGTGAGGTATTGGGGAAAAATAAACAGCACAGTACCTCAGGGGACAGGAACAAGTGCCAGATGTCTTGATTTCGGAGGTAGAAGGGCATTTATGTCTCATTCTCAGTAGCCTCATCAAAAGACATTCTCTTCTCTGCTGGTGCCTGTACGAGGCCCCATTTGTGCTGGTGGTCCTTTCACCTTTTTCTGGTACTGAGATTTGTGGCAGCATTGGAACTTCTGGTAGGTTGTCTGGGGAGCTACTAGAAGGGTTTCCACCCAGGAGGCTATTGTAAGACTCTTTGTTCCTTATTCACTCATGCTTCAGAGCTCTAAGAAGCTGGAGAGCAGCAGCCCCTGGCCACCCAGTAAGCACTGTGGATGGGCTCTGCAGTTAAGACAGTGTGGTGGGGGCCAGGGAAAGATCAATGTTTCTTGCTCCTGTGTAATTCTGACTTGTGGCAGCCCTTAGCATACATGGTGCCATCAGTAAGTCAGTTTTCCTTTTACATTTAGGTTTCAAGAGATGGGGAGGGAGTTGGATTTAGTGCATGCATCTTGAATCCAGCTGGTGACTTGCTCTGTGTAGATTGCTGTTCCTGAGCCTAAGGTGATCACTTAGTGTATAAGCATGAGCATGGCTTGGTTAGGGAATCTGCAGCTTGTGGAGAGAGTGAGCAGTGTGGGCATACTTCAGTCATCCTGATGAAAAGCATCGTAAGAAATATCACTGTTGAAATGTGGTCTGTAATGGTGTTGATGAGCAGGCTTGCATGGTAATTCACTCTGCATTTTACTTATTGCACAGCATGTGACTATAACCAGTGTTTTATTGCTTATTCCATGTTTCTACTCAGGAGTTGCTTGTTCTCTGCATGGCAGTGGCACAGTTCACAGAGGAATAGAAGATCTACTTACACGCACCACATACTACACACACCACACACACACTCACACTCACATGCATACACACGCGTGTATGCTCACCCTCCTCCAGAAAGCTAAACCTCACATAGCTGGCAGCGTCAGGGTGCGCAGTTCCTGAAGAGGAGGTTTCTAATCAGGGATATGCCAAGCAGAGAGTCTGCTGCTGTGGCCTAAAATTTACAGCTCCAAGAATCTATTCACTGCTGCTTCTGCTAACACATTATAAAGGGGTGATGAACACCAGTACCTTGTCACAGGGTATACTTATATCTTCACATTCTGCAGTCAGGGGGTGAAGGTGTGAGCGCTGTGATACTTTCCCTGGTGTTATTCCTTTCTGAGCATGGCTAGGATACAGAGAATGTTGAGCTTCTTTTCCTGTCTTGATTATAGGACTTGCCCTGTGTTTTGTGCTATGATAGTTTGGGAAGAGGTAGTTTTGGTTTGCGAGAAGGTATAGATCTGTCCTGCAATGAGGTTTTGGAAATGCTATGCTTTCTGTGCATTATTATCTTTTCCCATCCTTTTGAAGGAGGAACTATTGATTTGCTTTGTAGTACTTGGTATGGCCTAGAGGAATTTTTTCTTTTTAGTTTGAAGTTAGAATAATACAAGACCATGTATCATGGAAGTCTCACCCCTCATATGTTCTGTCTTCCATTTTCCTTTCACACAAATGTTGGATTGTGAAGACCAGGGAAATGATTAGCTTTGGCTTTTCTATTTTGGTCAATTATCTCCATAATAAAAGAAAAGCATTCCATTACACTGGGAATTTTTACCTGGTACTAACGTGTCTAGGTGGTAACAGAAATAAGATCTGCTCTTTCTCTTTCAGTTGCTGTACCTGTATTTTTGGTTATACCTTCCATTCTGTGTTTAGGCTTTAAATTGATGCATAGGGTGGCATCAGGGGCTCTTTGGTTTGGATGGTTCTGGTGCAGTCATACATGCCTTCTTTTATTTATCAGTTTTTTTTGAGGCCATGTGAATGTAGGTTTCTGCCCGTCTGAGTCATATAGCCTATTTGATTATCAGCTCAGTTGTAAGTTTAAACTGGTATCTAAAAGGGAAAGTAAAAAAGTTCCTGTCCTAATTCATTCAATTTTCTCTCAGAGGCTTCTTTACTTGTCAGATCACTGGCCTGTTTTCTATTCTCCTTTGTTTATTGATGGTGGTCTCACCCTGGGGTGCCCGCCCAGCACCAGCCCAGGTACACCTTCCACTTTGATTCTGTCTCTTACTTTTCTCATTCATTCTGTTTGACGACACTGAGCTTGTTGTGTAACTTTTCTTTTTTCTTTTTTTTTGGCGGAACCGGGGATCGAACTCAGGCCCTTGCACTTGCCAGGGAAGCACTTATTCCACTGAGCCATCTCCCCGGCCCCATAACTTTTCATTTGTTTCTTCTCTTTGCTTTCTTCAGATTACCCTTTAAAAGCATTCTTTACTCTTCTTGGTCTGTGATGGGTTGCTTGTTTGTAAGTAGAGAATAGCTGTTTTTGGAGTAAATGGGTACCTTTTGTGCTGGAGGCAATAGAGAAGCTTGCCCTTAGAGAGTTACAGCATGGCGTCTATCATGGCAAAGACACATCTGCTTGTTTTGTGCATAAAGAGGAGGGACATTTTGCCAGTCTTCCCTTACTGTGGACACCTGACTGGATAGTTCATTCAGCCACCTGGTGGTCCTGATGGGGCCTGACTGAAGCATAGAAAACTTTAATTTTCATTTTGCAGATAGAGTGAATGGCGACAGTGTTTTGTAGTCAGCAGCTACCTCATGGGAAAGTGTTGCTTGCAGAAAAAAAGGAAAAAAAAAAAAAAAAAAAAAAAATCCCAAACCCCTATGGTCTTGAAACAACAGGGTTTGAATATAATTGGTTGAATTTTAGACTGCTGGCTGTATTACGGGTTGTGGTTATAACCGTAATGTGGCCCTGTCCCAGTTTGAGTGGGGTTTTATTCAATACACATTGGTGGAATGTTCTAATAACCTTCACAGAGGAATATTTGTGCTTTTACCCTTCAAATAGTTGTCCTCGTACCCCAGACTGGAAGTTAATCTTTTTCAGCTGAGAGTGTGGTGCAGTGTTAATGATTTTGGTTTCTACAACAGAGAGGACTGAAATAGTGCTCTAAAAAGGTGGCTTTTAACGTAGCCAAGGTAATACCTTAGTGATTTAATGTTTCTCCCTGTAGAAGAGCAGCTCCTTTTCAGTGCCAAAATGACAATTCCATTTGCCCTTCACTTGCCTTTGATTCTTCTGCTTTCTGTTGAGGGGTATATTTCAGTTCTTTTTTTTTTTATTGTTGTTATGTTGGTTTTTGATACTGGGAATCAAACTCTGGACCTTGTGCTTGCCAGACAGACGCTGTGCTGCTGAGGTATATTCCTGGCCAGATCTTTGTCATAGTGCAGCTACCTTTTTCTAATACAGACCTTGCCTCTTTCCCTAGATTTATATTGAGATAAGGATTTTGGCTTCAGTTTAGAATCTGTTTCAATGAAAATCTTCAATAACAGAAGCTAGATTTGTAAGTCTTAAGCTTTGTAGTTAACCACATGCCTTGGTCAGGGCAAGAGAGATAAGATTGACTCTCAATATGAAGGATGTAGATTCTATCCTGTTGAGAAATCATGATAAGGTCTCTGGGAGCTTGCAGGATAGTTTGCTCTGACTTGGTGTGTAGTAAAGGATGACACTGAATCTATTATTCAAAATGGCTATTCATGTCATTTTCTACCTGTAACTATGTTGGGCTTTCCTCCTTGGCATGTGATGGGAACTCCCCATTCAAAGCCAGTTCATGTATTTTTGCCTTCTTTCCTCTAGGTGATGCAGGTTCTGAATGCTGATGCCATTGTTGTAAAGCTGAACTCTGGAGACTATAAGACCATCCACTTGTCCAGCATCCGACCACCAAGGCTGGAGGGGGAAAACATGCAGGTAAGAGTGGGAAAGCAGCCAAGCTTCTGTGCAAAAGCCGGAAGGAGTTAGTTAAATGATACATATGTGCAATAGTGCAAGAGGACAAGTATTTGGAATCTCCAGCATATTACTTCCTAATATTTGCAGCCTGGATACGATTAGACTGGCCTCCGTGTCTCCTGCGCTACCCTTACTGCTTGGATTCCTTTTGGACGGGCACTCCTTGAGAGGGCAGCAGAGCAGTTAGAACTGGGATGTGTAACATGGTGCATGAGATTTATCCATTAGCAAATCTGGATCTCAACTACGTTATAATAAATAGACCCTGCTTCTGCTGGTCATTTTGATTTGATAGTTCTTTGTATTTTTGTTCAAGGAAGAAATGAATCTTTGTCTGTATATTCCCTAGGGTCCCTCTTTATCCTTTGCAAATAGTACTTGTAATTAGTTACACTGTTTTGTGCTACTTATTGAGTCTTGGCTGAATAAATGCTTCCCTAATGTGTATGACTTGGGTATATCAATTTTGAGGAATTACACTTTGGATGAAAACTCCAAAAGTTGATATTCAGTATATAGATAGGGAGTTTTTCTGTTTTAAATTCTGTGGTTATTTTTTCCATCTTTCTGCATTGTAAGAGGTTGGGGATAGGGATTGAAGTTGAACGTTTTCTTGGGTACAGTTAAGTGTTAATTTTGCAGACATTGTTTCTGCTCTTATTATTGTCTTCTGATAACTTAAGTCAGTTCAGTAGTTATAGAACCAAGTTCTTAGTGAGAGCCACTGCCAGAGGCAAGTATTTGGTTTTCTGAAATTGAACATTGTGGTTGAAGTTAGTGCTGTGTAGCTTCAACTTTTTTTTTTTTTTTAATTTGTTGCTTTTGTAGTTCTAAAAATGTGGAATTTATTTTACCAATGTTTTGTACATACATATTTTGTGGTGCACGTACGAGTTGCAATTCATACGCTGTTGCCATTTGTGTGAGAGTTTCTAGACATCCCAGAAGAGTAAAATAAAAATATCATGATTGTCTTTTGAATCAGATCATGCATAAAAAACATATATGGGATGGGTGATTTGAATGTCTGGCCAATCAGTTCATTCCCTTCCCTTTTTTTCCCCATAGAGGAGCCAATTTAATGCAGCAAACAGTGCCGTGGTAAGGTTGAGAATTTAAATGCATGGAAAGCCTAGAAATGCCAAAATGAGATTCTCTCAGTAGCTGTGCCTCATTGCACAGTGTAAATACATGTCTCCAATTTTATCAGTATTGGGAGTAGTCCACGACTCTACATCTGTGCCCTACAGTTGGAATTAAGGTTCCCACAGCAACCACAACTTCGAAATTCTTCAATGTTAATTTTTGTGCCTGCATCATCAGCCAAAGCATTATGATAATGGAGGTTGTGTAGCTGAATTTCAAGGAGTGGGGGTTGGGGTGTTGTAGCTTAGCTAGGATAATAACAGATTTTCTGAAGAACTAACCTAACTAAGAATTTTAAATTTTTTGTGGATCCTTTGGAGTTAACCTAATGGCCAGTGGGAAGTTGTTGGAATATATTTCCTAGTTTAGCTAAGATAATGATAATACAGTTCTTATTTCCCACCAAAATGAATTGCCTCTTGCTTTCTTCTGCTTCTGTTTTCTTTTTTTCCCGTTCATTCTTGATATCTTCCTCTATTTTAAGAAAGTTCTCAGTAAGCCTTAGCTATAATAGCTGCAACATATGGCTCTTGAGGGGAATGAGGACTAATATCCATTATTTGTTCATTAAAGTCCTTTGGCAGAGTGTAAATAAGGTAATATAACACACCTTGAATATGATGGTAGAGGGCACCCTGGAGAACCCCATTGTGGTGGAGGATATGGCAAGGCTTCCAAGGGGTTGTTGTTAGACTTGAGTATCCAAGGTGGAGAAATTAACTTGCAGAAGGGGCACTACAGGCCAGCACTGTCTTGATAGATCTGTAATGCAAGCCATATAGGTCAGTAGTATATATTATTTAAAATTGTCAAGTAGTTCCATTTAAAAACTGAAATATATTAACTTTAATGTATCTTATTTGACTTAACATATCCAAAATATTATCATTTCTACATTTAATGAATATTAAAACATTAATGACATAGTTTCTCTCCTTTTTTATAACTGTGTCTTTGAAATATGGTATGTATTTTTACTCTAGTCCCACATCTGAATTCCTTCTGTCACATTTCAGGGATGCAGTTGGCACATGAGGCTGGTGGTTACTGGTAGGGACAGCTCAGCTTTACAGAAGGAATAAATGTGTTAGGTGTCAGCAATTGCTGGCTGTTGGGTACTGTGCTGGAGATATGGTAAGTCATGAATGGATGGTTTCCTCATCCTACTCTTATCGAGCTTTTAAGTCTAGTAGGGGAAATGTACACAAATCCCATTTATGTTAGCTGCTGTGAAGAAAATTAAGTTTAGAAAAAGTGCATAATCTAGGAAGGTATTTTTATGTCTTATCAACTATACCAATAAAATTAATTAAAAAGGATTTATTGGTTGAAATGATACCTGTCCAAACAGTGGGGATAGTCAGTATGTAAACAGATGGCCTACCCAAGGGAAGCTGGTGGGGCCTAGGGCGTAAGTCAGTGGGCCTGGCAAGCGTGAGGTCCTGAGTTTGAGTGCCAGTATTAGCCAGCCCCCCCCATCCCCATGGCATCCAAGGGATGCTGGGAATAAGCTGTTAAATGGTTAGGAACAGCTCAGTGAACAGTTTTGGGGAACAGGTAATAGATAGCCATTGTGGCTGGTGAGTGGCATGCCTGCTGTGTGATGTTAATCCACTGGGAGGGCTGAGTCCTGTGTGTCCTGGGGACACCTTGGGTTCCTAGTGGCATAGGAGAGAATATGGGCCTGTGATGAATTGTGAGTAGAGTAACTGTGTATGACCAGAGTAGCAGGTAGCTAATTAAGAGTGCTGAGAAATGGGCTTGGTTATCAGGGATCAGATGTAGAAGACTTTGATGCCATGCTTTTTAGGTGTTATCTTTTAGAATTTTAAGTTGGAAAACAGCAGGCTTGGATTTAAGAACTCCTATGTCAGTGGTGTGATTTCATAAGATAAAGGAATTTGTATTTTATAGGAAAAAACTTACTAGGTAAGAATGGATCTGCTACAAGGTCTAGTGTTTCTTTTGAAAACCTCAGTTGGCCAAAGACCCAGGGGAAAACAGTGCAGTGAATGAAGAACCGTGGTATTGAAGAGCCATCCTTCTTCATACTGAAGATTCTAAGTACTTGGTTTTTCTACTTGAAGAATTCCCCAGAGCTCTCCTAAAGAATGCAAGATTCTGTTCTATGCTTATTCTAAAGTTAACAGATTTACAGTATGGGTAAATAAGAAGAAAAATCATATGGGGCTCCCAGTGGACTATGACTACATGTATCTAAAGCCTAGGCAGTAGGAATCCCTTTGGAGTTGTGGGTTTCCAGTTTCCTGTACTCCTTCCCAACTATTCTTCCCAACTATTCTTACAGCTACACTGGGAGCCCAGTCAAGGGGTCATAGAGAGGACTGGCCAGGACCCCTGTTAGCCCTTAGGGCATCTTTGTGCAAATTAGAGAAGGGTGCCCTTTTCTCTAGGGAGCCTCCCATCAGGGCTTATACTTGGCATACAGATTGAAGGCTGAATTTCAGCTCCTGTTTTCTCTATCCCTTTGGCCAAGTGCCCTTCTGCAAAACACAGCACACACAAGAATATGTGCCTGCCCTAGTTAGATCCGGGCGGTAGAATTTCCAAGAGAAAAAAAGATACCAGGAATGTGTTTTGGGAGATGGAGGATGACTGGCTGTAGAAGCACAGCGTGCTTGAGGATTCTTTGGAGATATGTGATGGATGGATTGAGAGGGGCCTCAAAACACTCTTTCAAGATTACCTCCTGTTTAATTACCAGGCACTTTCTGAGGCTCATAGCTTTGGAAGGGAGCTAAACATAACCTGATAGTTTATGTATTGGACCCTTTTCTAAACCACACAACCAAGTGGGAGAGGGGGCAGATCAAGGAAGTGGAAGAAGTGAGGAGGGGAAGTCTTTGGCAGGAGTGTCCTCAGGGGCAGGTGGGTGGCTGAGAGATTGCTGCGGTGAGGAAGCCTCACCCAGGAGCATCCAGTGGCAGACTCCATGGGCCTGGCCCTTCCCAGAACACACTAAGGTTCCCCCTACCAGTACTGAGGCTTGAACTCAAGATCTTGGATGCTGAGTTACCTACATCCTTAGCTCTTCCTTATTTTTTAATTTTGAGACAGGGTATCATTAGGTTGTCTGTGCTGAACTTAAACTTGGTGTGATCCTCCTGCCTAAGTGCCCAGAATGTTGTAATTATAAATGTGTGTTACCACATTCGGCTTGGGAGAGATTATTTTACCATGTCTCTTCCTCCTGTTCTAAAAAATAGTAACCTGTCATTAAATAATATAGATCTTTTGAGACATCTATATATTTGGGGGCTACGAGGGCAAAGTGGCTTTTTCTTTTTTTTTTCCCACACAGAAACAAGTTCATTTCTCTTAAATTATACAGAAAGACAAGGTTTGCCCAAGGCTAACTGTATACTTCCACACCCCCTCTCAGTTATTTTCTAATTGGAACCAGGAGAATTGCTTGGACAAAACACTGTGATCAAGGGAACAGTTTTTACCCATGCAGCTGTGTTCCAGTATTGTCCAGGAATTCTTGGGCACTCTATGATGCTGGGGTTTCCCAGGAGCTTTGTGTGTTGATGGAAAGTATGACGGGAGGGCTAAAAGCAGAAGTGTGCAGTATTCCCCTCAGAAGGATTCCAGTTTGAGGGATGTGGTGGTATTGATGGTGTCACTGGATTGCTTAGGAGGTCCAGTGTCAGCGCTTCGTTGTTCACGCCTTCAGGCTGAAGGCCATTTAAGAACACTCTCTTGTGGTGCTCATGTGAAAGCAGATGTGCATCAGGGTTTCCCTAAAGGTAGAGCTTGTTTTAGCCCGTTGTTTGCCATAATGAAGTAAG